GAGAGAACTAGTTTTAATTCGCCACAACTGTATTGTTGACGTTTTCGTAAAAATTGTTAAAAATAGCTCTTCTTAAGATCCACACCCATAGAATCAACAGAAACACATGCCTTGTGAACTGATATTTACTTTGAAAAGATGTAACAGTCATAATTAATTACTACGGGAAGGGTTGTTGGTCTTCAAAGTCATCATTCTAGGCATTTTATGAATTGGAACTGGTATGGACCCATATAGTTAGTAAACTTGAAGTTGATTAGAAAGTGGGAGACTAAAAATCACAAATCGTTAAAAACACTAAGGTGATTTGACATACATATTTTCAATTGAAGGAGTGAATATTCTCACTTTAAGTATCCTTTTCCCTGATGGAAATAATTAGCTAATTTGAGCCTTCGTAGGCTGTTGATCGATTTTCTTTCAAAATATGTACAAAAGGAGTATTTTCCCTGGAAAATTTTCAAGTGATAATTAAAATAATGACCAGAATATCAGTTAAATGTCCGGTTTATATAAAGTAGATTTAGATGATACTTCTACCTGAAAAAAACTGTTTATTTCTAACTTCCTTATTAGTACTGTATCAAGGATAATGATAGAGATTATGATTTCAATGTTCAATAGATAAATATATTCTTAACGAGTTTTTTTCTGCACAGTTGTTTACTTTGCTTATTTGTTTATTTAATATAAATTATTGATGAAGATCGGTACATCATATCTGTGTATTTTAAAAGAATTCTTCGCGGAAATATTGACTTTGTATACGACCATTTAAAATAGTAGTTAGGTAGCAGAAATCTAAATCACATGCTTTTATCCATTAGCAGTGATAGTTGCCTGTTCCATTTTAGTCTGTTTATTAGAAATATCACACAGTGAAACAGTAGCATTTACTGGATAACGTTTCGGACATAATTTATTGCCCATATGCATATCAGGTAACTCCACAACTTCGAGACAGTCTTTATATATTCCTAGTTTTCTCTCCTTCTCTTTGATGACAAGGGTAGTAGAATTTTCCATATATCTGGGACAGGTGCAGCATCATTTCGATTGCTTGTGTTTGGTGTTGATTCGATAAACCAAGATTCAGTCGGTTATCAATCTCTCCTCTCCCTCCACCCAACACTGTCACCCTATCCCACCCTACTGTGTGATTGTGTGTCGTCGCATGCAGAGCTATAGCCGAGTTTTCCTCTAGATTTCTTATATCATTAGGATCTACTGATCTTGATTTAGCTAAGGATATAATACATAATAATAATAATAATAAAAAAATGTGGAATATACAAAGACTGTCTCGAAATTGTGGAGTTACCTGATATGAATATGGATAATAAATTATGTCCGAAACGTTATCCAGTAAATGCTACTGTTTCACTGTGTGATATTTCTATAATAAACAGACTAAAAGTGGAATTACAATCGACCACAGTGCCCAAGTTTTACACTTATATTAATAGTTGCTTGTTGTTATACAGAAGAGAGCAAACCGATGAAATGCATGAAATGTAATCATAACATTAAATATTTAAAGAATAGAATTATTGATGCAATATATGATGTTTGTTAGACATCAAATTGAACCACAAATTATATTTTACAACCCTAGAATTTCTATTTATTTCCATACGTCAAACTTCTAAATCACTGTGGTTTAAGCGACACAGACCTTAAGAGATTCATCTTTATTGATTATAACGTGATGTAACTTTGTGAACTGAATAGTATATGGTATAATTCATCATATCTAGATATCAATAAATTTACAGATCCTTGTAGATTATTCATAATGTGAATAAGTCAACAATTGTGTACAAAAAACATCCTCTTCAGACTTTTCCCTTACAAATCCATGAGAATAGGTGGAATGCAATAGCTAATGTAAGGCATAAAGTGAAATTACTTCAGCGTTAAAACAGCTAGTGTTGTTGGCAAATGAAAATCAAATCAGATGAGTGTAAGTTTTCATCATTTGGATTAGTAATCACTTAAATGTGTTAGTCATCATCACAGAACAGAGTATAGAACTGCAGTCAACCCTCTATCTTATCTTCATCGACTTTGAGAAGGCCTTTGATAGCGTCGACCGAGAGGTAATTTGGAAACTGCTTCATTACTATGGAGTACCACAAACCTTTATCAATCTCATTCAACAACTATATGAAGGTGTCACATGCCAAGTTATTCACAATGGGAAGCTCATTGATGCTTTTGAAGTGAAGGCGGGAGTAGAACAAGGCTGTCTACTATCACCCATGATATTCCTGATTATGGTCGACTGGATCATGCAACAAACTGTGAGGAGCGAGAAGAGGGGGGTACGCTGGACCGGGGAAAAGAACCTAGAAGACTTGAATTTCGCCAACAATCACTTGTGTCTAATGTCACACAAACTTGAAGATCTACAGGCGAAAACCAACAAGTTGGCAGAAGAGGCAGGGCGGCGAAGACGGGACTTCAAGTGAATATGGAGAAGACAGAGGTGATGAAGATACCGCACCACCAACAACAAGCACCAGTCACCATCAGTGGTAGAAACCTAAAGACAGTAGTCTCTTTCACCTGTCTAGGGAGCACTGTTTCAACTACAGGTGGCACAGATGAGGACGTCAAAGCCAGCCAGGATCGGAAAAGCAAGGCAGGCCTTCCGTCCTTAATCTGAAATCAGTGTGGAGATCTACTGCATCTACTGCACTCCACTCGGCATAAAGAACAACGTCCGGATTCTCAACACTGACGTCAAGTCAGTGCTTCTATGTGATGGTTGAGAGACTTGGCGTGTCACGAAAGGCATTTCAAACATACTACAGATACCAGTCAACAGCTGCCTACGCTTGCTCCTCGTTTTCATATTCCATTGTAAAATGAATATTCGGATAAGCTTGAATGAAGATATCAGACACTTTGACGCATGGTTCATGTTATCACAAACCGATCATATTCTCTGACAATAGAAGATTTATTAAATCACAAATCCTCAAGTGTCTGAAACTGTTTAACCACTCACTTGGGTCTTTCATTTTTGCCACGAAGATTTAAATTGACAATATGCGTAAGCTTGCAGTATCTGTTCAGTGTTAAAGCAGTTGGCTAAAATGTAAAATCTCTAAGTTACAGGTTTTAAGTCAATGGTTTTAACAAAACCGTTTTGTCATTTGATATGAGGATAACTGTTTAGTGTACATAATTATATTCTTTTATGTAGCTTGTTTGTTGAAACAATTGAGATGATGTAGAAAACGTTTTAGTTTCATTGTTTCTACTAAACCTCAGAAAGGGTTCCTGAAACTTCAATTGAAGAGAAAGTATTTATTTACTACGTTCGGTCGTAGTTTGTACTTTAGTCGAAGACATAGCGAAAAATCATGGTGCATTAACATGTATACAGTACATGGTTGAGTGCAGCGGTTGATTATGTTTTGTTATAAAAATGTATAAATACCACACTGGTTATAGTTGATAGAATTAAAAGGGGTTGAGATCAATCATAGGGCACGTCAACTTCATGAAGAGGAAGGATGGATTAATGTAATAAAGAAGTTTCAGACAGTAATTTTGTAACCCATTCCCAAACAGCTCTCAAGGTTTTATATAGGAGCGATCAGGGAGGTATGCTGAGATTTACGCAGGTGACAGCTGTACATAAATTAAAACCACCAATGTGTGTAGGAAAACAATTTGTCTGTACAGTACACCTACTTTGGTAAACTTTCTTTTTTACCATGACTAGAGTTAAGGATATCATTCTTCCCTTTTTTCTATCTTGAGATAATAATCTTAATTGTTCTATTTATTCTCCCATTCTTCTGTCTTATATAAACTGACTTGAGAAGTATGTGTGTGATCAGATTTGTTTGAAATGTATTGTACAAATGCATCACATTGTTCAGATAAACGTAATCACCTTTAGTACACTAGCCAGAATTAAGGACGTTCAATGTCAGTGAACAAAGTGCACTATGAGTATTGTGAAATAACTTAAAAATCAATTTTTGAATTTTATGAATTTCTTATTTGAAACCAGTTAATGTTATAAAGGTACTCACTGGATAATGTTAATGTCTCTACTTTTAATAATGAGGGTGTTACATTACTTTTAATGTCACCTCTGAATATGGTTACTTTGGCAAGCACACTCTTTACATGATGAACAAGAGATGCTGAAAAATGTCGACAATGAAATCGTTACACTAAGATAATCACCTTTTATGCTATATGACACCTGAAAGTCTATTGAAGTAAGTGCTGAAACATTAGTTGAACAATACATCAGGATACCAAGCTTTGATCAAGACGTGATTTATTCGCTTGAAAACATTCAAAGCATCACATGAGCATGTAACATTTCAAATGTTTTAATAAAAACTTACATTTTGGAATGAAGCAGTTAAATAATACAAAATAAAAATTAGTTATTCACTCAAGAGTAATCTTGTATTTGTCTTATAAACACAAATTATTTTCTATTTACACAAGAATTAGGTTAACCTAGATGATAATTTTGTTTTTTTGATGCGTAATTATAATAACAATATTGTATCTTTCTAGCCATGCAGTACACAGTAAATATATATATATTTATGCATACAAATTAAGAATCTGATATCTAAAATAAATCATGGTATTAGTTAATTCCTCTTGAATAATTATCAAAATGTTCAATGAATGGAAACATTAATGGATAAATGAATTGATGATTATACTCTTTCACATATTAGATTGAATAGAAAATTGAAATAAAATTCGTAGGAATGGGAACACAATTTAAAATTAAAATTAAATGATAATGTATTCTCAGGTAGTTTTCACTTGTTTATTAGACCAGAAGGCTGTTAGAAGAAACGTATTTCTGTGATTTTACTCTTCATTTTCACTTGTATTTGTAGAAATTTTAAAATATAATTGTGTGCATACAGTTGTCAAATGGTAATGATGTTTTTTTTTGGATGTTTGCTTCATTGGCATTTTTATATTTTTAATTGTATAACTTCATTTTAATTTACCGCCAGCAATATGTTTAAAATTACAGGAATATCTAACAGTATTCTATAAAAAAATAAATGAGACATTGAATTTCCGATAGTTCTAATTCTCATACGTGGGTTTTGTGATTCTAATAAACTGAACTTTATTTTATTTTCACTTAAGGGATATTTATTGTCGTTGTTCAGCGACTGGAATATATGATCTAAATAGTATTCAGAAAAAAAATTAAAGGAAAAATATAATTATCATTTAAAGATCAAATTTCTACTGGATTCACTTGAAAAATGAATTTATAAAGCGCTAACCGTTTTATTTGTGAACAATAAAATTTTTTAAGAGATAAGTACAAAAAAAGTATCATTTTTACTTGGATTTAAGAGCGGTAATAATGAAATATGTAGCTTGATAATTTATTGACTAAGCATTCGATGAATCATATAGAAACCTTTCTTATTTAGCTTATTTCTTGACTATAGAAACTCGGTAGTTCATATAACTGCAATTGATAAATAGTTTGTTTAGACATCTCAAGAATAATATCTGTATCATTCTGGTTATATCAAAACGCAGAATGATCCGTATGTTTATGAAGAGTTTCAGAAGAATTTAAAATATCCAGCAATCGTTTAAGCACTAAGAATAATTTAAGTTGAACAGATTTTGAAGGTAGATAAGTCAGAGTTGGTCGTTTAGTCAACCGTTCACATTTCATAGGAGTAGGATTGTTGCATTGACTGGCGAGTCGGTATTAACTAATGCCATGTTCCCTAGATTCAGATGTTGAAAGAGTTCTGCCGGTGAAGTTGTTTATATGAACAGTAACCCAGGATAATTTACATTACAATATACTTAGATTAATGTTAGGTATCTGATAGTGGATTTGTTCAAAGTCTGTTGAAGATTGCTTTCAAGCACCTAACATAGTAATTACCAAAAGAACATAAACTACTGGAAGTATCTTAAACTAATTTTATCAGAAGATTTTTATTTCGATCTTGAGAACGAAAATTTAGCATATAAACAATATGTAAAAAAACAAAAAGCTTATTCAAACTATCGCTGATACTGAGTGAAAGTAAGTGATTATAAAAAGAACTTTCTGTGGTGTATTATGATTTGTCTTTGATGCGTCACTTTTCCTTTTTAAGTTCAATCGCTTTTTCACACACTTCTTGATTCGTTGGTCTTTGACTTTGACATGATCTCTTAGTTGTATGAAAAGACTTGTTGTATAATATCAGCAAATTTAAGAATAGGAAACGTTTTTCTGACGGTCTTTGATACGAATCAAACTATATCATCAGTCTCGTCGTGTTGCCTAATGTGCACTGCTAGATTTTAATCCTATGACTGTAGAGTAGCTTGGTTGTCTTGTGACTTGAAGACCATTCATTACCTCGCCTATTTTCTTGGGTTTATGATTGCTTATTACTCAGCTGTCTCAGTCTACAAAAAGTAGCTTCTAATGGTTATCTGGCTGATATTAGTGCTGATTTGAGGGTGGCTTACAAGATCTGTTGTTTTCTATCACCTCTTGTATTATACTCCGGAAGTTAGATAGCCGGTATGAATAATTTTGTCAAGATTGACTTAAAAGAACACTAAGTGATGAAGATCGATTTCAAGTGATCAGATAATTTTACATTTCTATAATGTAAGCTGTCATGATGATTATTTACTAACAGGAATGGACTACACTTGTTCATCCTAAATTAATTTACGACATCTCTTCAATTATATTAATCCAAGGCTAGAAACGTGTATTCAAGGTGTCTAGATAAAACGACATTATTTTCTCGACGCTAGATAGTCTGTTTTAATGACGACAGTTACGACAGAGAATGCAATACATTCATAAGCTTTTTGTGAAAATCATAAATGCTTCATTATATGTGAGATCCCCTTAGATATTTTAAGTCTATCAAACTTAGTTGGGTGTAGTGGTGACTGAAGCTGGACAAAAACAATATTATAAAGGGTATGGACCATCGTCCTACTTTTTTAGGTCCATTGCTTGGTTAACTGAAGTAACAAACCAAACTCATGAATCAAACTCGCTTTTACTTCAGCCGTAAATTGTTGTCAGCAGTTCAGTCATGTAGTTCCAGTTGACACGGTATCCCATCGGCAACTCAGAAGCCGCTGGTGCATGCCCTGCATATATCAAGGTATTCAGTAAACTTTAACTGTTCTATCACCAAAATAAATGTAGTCAAAAAATCCATCTCGTGTTTACTAGTTTACAAGTCGCTGAAAATAGCTACGAATTAAATTGAAGAAAACCGTCCAATATTTTTCTTTTCAGGTTTTCATTCTTAATGGCTATCTTGATTGAATTTCAACACTTACAACATGATTCTATGTTTCTTCCTTTAGGCACTTACAAGATGTTTAGGAGTATGAAGTAAAAAAGAACAATATATAAAAAAGATTATCAGATGAATGCATCCAAGATGCTTAACTGTGTTATCAACAAGTTGTTCTGAGAAATTTTCCACTATGATCTTATCATAACAAACAGTTGTTTGAATAATACAAGCTAATATGTTTTAATTTTCTGCTAATGGAAAAGAAACAAGTGTTTGCTGTTCCCTCTTTTTTATGTCCTTTTTATTTGAGGAGCTGAAACTATTTGTTGATAAGCTGTGACATAACTAACTGCTATGTTATCAAAAAATACTTCACGTAACGCTGTTATCGATGGTTGTTCTACTGATGACTTAACGTTTCTAACTTTATTCTGTCCATCGAGTGTATGTAATTTTGTCATATTCTGTTCAGAACAGCTTTATGGTAACAGCTTGACAAATGAATCAGAAATGAGGATATACAACTCAGCGAATCGAGATCAAGGTGTAATGGGTGTAAACGTTCTTAAGGAATAAGCAGGAAAACTTAAATAAACTGTTTAGTCGAAAGATTTTTGTATCAAGTTCAAACTGTTTGTAGTGAATAGGATGCCTTAAGTGCAAACGACAGTGGCCACTTTTTTCAGATCTCAAAGAACTCTTAGACAGTAGTTTCAACAGGCATTAAGTTCCTTGACGGTTGTTGCCAACGATCAAGCACGGAGATCCTTTTGGCTCAAATTGACTCACCTTTCACCGAGAAACTAATAGTGAGTTCCCGATGTTGGGATGGTAATCAAATGACTTAGATCACGAATAGTGCTGGTCCTATTAAGACATCTTAAAACCATTTTGTGAAATTCGAAGAGAAGACGGTGTAACATGACATGAACCATGTGATTTGTTATCTTTGTGCAACTCTAAGTATTTAGTGAAACTTATTCAACATTCCTTATGAATATTAAAAAAAGTCAGCTCAGATAGTAAAAAGATAATAAGTGGGCAAGAAAAAACATGTGAACGCTATGTTATGGGAAACCAACTATAACAGGATTAGTTTAGTCTAAGTATAAACTGTTTCTAGATGCCTCAGTGGAAGTTAAATTTACGAAGACTAAGAGTAGGCATTCTTCGTGATCATATGTGTGCGGTATAGTAAAGGTTGTTATGATATCAGCAATATATCTAAGTGTCTAATGTGCCTTGTTGGCAGATAAATAAAAATTTCTGTCAGCTAAATTGATTGAATTATTAGAGGTCAATTGTTTTCAAGGCACATAGACAGGTATTAACATGTCCTGGGCTACATTTCAAGATTTCTGCTCTCCTAAGTACATGTGTGCATAAACGGTTCATAGACGCAACAGGGTGTAAAGCACTTTTTCATTAGTTATTTAATTTTTTGTTGAAGTATGGTCTCCGGTTTTTTCCACTAAGATGCCCTTGTTTGCAAAGTATTTTTTTTACCAATAATAACAACCTAACCTGTTTTCAAATAAATCTGTTTTATTCATTCTCATTGAGCCTTCTGATATAGACGTTTCTCTTAGAGACTCAATGCCAAATGGGCTTCGAGTTTGTACCAATTTTAAATTTCCAGACAAACAGTAATGGACATTTTTTTGTGTCAGTACTTTCATGTGGCAGCTTGGTCTTCTTTTTCGTACATTTTGTGAAGATAACATTAATCCTTATCAACCATTGTTTGCTTGAGTCTGAGACAGCTGTGGAAATGAAGACGATACTCTGTCAAAGCCATCTTTCAGTACATAGAATTTCCTGCTGAACCGTCATCTCTTAGGTTCATAGTATATCTTAAGATGATAGCTTGTCATTTTCCTCTTCTTCAGAAGTAAGTCTCCTTAGGTCTCAACAGTCATTAGTTTCTGTGATAAACACATTACATCGAAAGATTTGTCAAAAAGGAAAATTATGTCTTCTTTGCACATCAACGGGAATATTTTCAATCGGATATTCAGCTTAATTACTCTACATGTTATATATATATAAAATAGATTTTAGTGGTCAGTTGACAGGAAGCCCTAGAACTAAGTTTCATGCTTGTTATTGCTAAATATCAGGCAGCATTTGCAACGATGCGAACACTAGTAATCCCTTGGTCATTTAAACCATCCATCTATTCAGACCTTGACTAGTTACCTGTAAGAATAAATCAGGTAAAGGAATTTATCACCAGTGGATAGTCGATGTAACTGTCTACTCCATGGTGCTCAGAGCTAGTCCAATTCTGTCAACGAAGTTATGCATGCTAAGTGACCAACCTTAGTGATAACGTTAATCTGCTCAAAATAGCCACGTTGAATTTTGAACCCAATATTGCTAGCTCATAGTAATTGTTAGTCTCTTAGTTGTCAAGAGAATAGGGAATAAAAGATTTGAGCACACATCTGTTTTTAGTATATTCATTCTCTATCTCTCCAGTTCTAAATCCATGAATATCTTATATGGTAGCCAATGTTAAGCGTATAGAAAATGTCAACACCGTTTGTACTGTAGATCAGTTGAATCATATTGGTTGAGTGAAAAATGTTTAATATGTAAACATAATTAGCTTGCTGTTACTCATGCTCTAGATGCAATAATATGAGAGGATGAAATAAAAACACTTATAATCTTAAAGACCTTATATGTGGGATTATAATGAAGGGAAGTGCTGTTGCAAAGTGATGCTCTTTAGAAGAGTAGTGTCAATACAGTAGTAAAATGTGGTCAACATTGTACACCGTAAAATTATTAGTAACTTATATAAAGTCAGTGGAGTACGAAATCATAGAAAGGAATACATGAGGAAGGTGAAAAAAAGAAGGTGGGTAAGACAATGTATACGTAAACACTATCGAAATTCATTGGAATTCTTTTGGTCATATAGTAAGTTAAAGTCACTAACATGATTGTGCATGCTTCTTATGAGCACATTACGTGAGTTTTCGAATGTTGATTTCTGAGGTTCCCGCTATACATAAATCAATTACTATGGCTTGTTTTATCAAATTATATGGAATGCTGTTTGTAACTTAAATTGGTTGGTTACTAGATCAAAAGAAACAACACTGTTGATATACTTGTTCCCTTATTCGTCAGCTATACTAGAAAGCGTTTAAATGCTCGCATAGATAAAGATCATGTTGTACCTAAATTGTGATATACCTAAAAGAATATCGTTCCATCTATAAAATTTTTTATTTAACCGACTTGATTTATCTTTAAAATCTGTATGTTCCAAATTCATTAACTGATTATCATGGATTTATAATCAATAAGCTTGAGAACTAAGTTGTTGAAAACAATTCTTTTTAATTTTGAGGGAGTTGTGGGGATTTGGAAATATTTCAAGTTGTTATTCATCGTAGACTGACATCACCTGGAAGAACAAAGAAAACCCGGGAGCACTAGACAGCTATTTCGTCCTAGTATGGGACTCTTAAGCAGTGCGCACTTTTTGTTCCTTTGTTCCTCTAATTGATGTCAGTCTACGATGGATATCAACTTGAAATGTTTTCTGATCCCCATAACTCCCTAAAAATTCAACTGAACTGCTGCTGATTGTTGACTAGCTTCAAGAGGTATTCCCGAAGTTCCAATGAGAAGTTGTTACCGGTGGAGGCAAAGCCTGATGGTCGTGAGGACAGTTACTCAACGATGACATTGGGTGGCGGTTGCGCTATATCGTGAGCTAACAGAAGTTGGAAATATGGAGCATTGGATTCTAACCCGGTGGCTCAATGGTAACGTGCTGGCCTTGGGAGCTGAAGGTCGCGGGTTCAATCCCTAGCGGGGTGGTGGGTGTACACTGCTAAGGAGTCCCGACTACGACGAAGCAGCTGTCCAGTGCTCCCAGGTCTCCTTTTTTCCTCCAGCTGATATTAGTCTGCGATGAGTAACAACTTGAAACAGTTATTTGTCTAAATACTTTCCGTTTTAATCCTGATTTTGAAATTTATGGAAGACTTTTTGAAAATATATTTTTACAAAGAACAATAATAGTCCTAGTTAATGATACATCAGTGAATAGAAAATTAAAATGGGAAGAATATGCATTTGGATCGACCAGTCTGATTGTCAGGTCAAAGACTGGTCGCAGTTAACTGGAAAGATGTTATCACCAAGTGTATGATAAACCAAGCGTTCTTCTTATGCAATCAGAGTACTCTTAGAAGAGGCCATGCAAAAAACTCCAAAGGATATGGAAACCTGCATCATTTGTTGAACATCTTCAAAACACTGAACGATGAAAAAAATGTGAAAAAAGTGCTGATATTTTTGTATAGGGTAAATTTACCTGCTCTTTGATTCTTATCCTGTGCCGTATACCTTGCTTTTACTCTCGTTGCCACATCATTCTGTGCGTATTGATCATGAAGTTTGTCATTTTGTGTGGAGGGATTTAATTTCCAAAATACTGATAAAAGATTTCGTAATTTTTCATTTAATTCAGACTGTTCAAATGAATTGTGAGGATACCTTTTTCTTACTAAAAAATTAAAGAAAAGCAAGAAACGAGCTTATTTAGGATAGGGCTGATGTCAATAACATAAGTTTCTGAGTTATTTATTTGGGCAGTTAACAGCAGAGTGGATATAAAACACAAATTTTACATTTTGATATTAAATAATGCATAAGAGTTAACACTAGGATCCCGAACTCACTTTTGTGCTGTTTCGGACTTTTCAGCTTGAAACGAGCGCAGCCTTTTGAGGGACGTTGTTGCTACTGCCCAACTCCATAACTCATTCCTTTAAACTTCAAAGGCTTATTCACTGGATTACTGAATCATAGTAGCATATATGCCAGTTGTGGCTGATTAGTTCGCTTTAATCAACAATGGTAAATTATGTTATATTGCGTAGATCTTTGAAAGCCGTCAGTTGGACGAGTATTGTGCCTATGACCCAAATGATCAACAGTGTAGTTGACAGACATTTAAATTCTAACAAGCAACCCGCTACAGTAATTTTAACTGACACTAAGCACCCATTTCATTCACAGCTCTCTTCTCGTCTCTCCTCACGGAGGACGAAGAGAAAATATCACGTTAAACGCTCGTACAGCTAAGTACAAGAATTCGACTGTAAGTAGCACGCATATTATGTGAGAAAAAGTCTGTTAAAACAGAACTCACATATCAACTTTGTAATAGTTAATAATCCCAATCTACTAGTTTAATTAACAATGTAGAATTTTCTCGTTATTAATATTTTTTACATTGCTGAAATTCTTATAATAACACTAATTGAGATGTTGTAAAGAAGAATAAATATATACACGTATTATGTTGTTGTTGCTATATATCATGCTAAGAGTTCCAAAACGTACTAAAAGTTGTTTTGAATAAAGTTATTATTACAAGCCATAACATGGACATTTCGTTGTCAAAAAATCTGTAAGTTTTAGTCAGTTGAGACGTCATTTTGTCTATGGTATTTGTAATCATATTAATTAATAGTGATTGGAGATGATCTGAGAAGCATTTAATCAAAGTTCAAGGGGATTTAACGGTAACCTGAAGATAATTGAAACAGATAAGGCTCGTAGTGCATTCAAATCTGAACATAAGTATGGTGCATAGTGTATACAAATATCTTTCAGAATATTTGTGTGAACACAAACTACTTATTATCAAGTTCCTAGGAGGGTCCTAGCAGATATATGAATGCTAGTCAATTTGATATATCTTGACCGGTTTTACTAGGTTTGTATTTGCCTTCTGTTTCTCATAGAGTTCTTAGTTATGGCCTACTTTATGAGGAATATTTATTCGGTTTTTCTACCTGAGTTTTCCTCAGCGCTGAATCTATTTTCTTTACTTCTGATGATAGTTGGTTTGTAGTTCCAGACTATCACCAGATTTATTTAGACTGTACCTTCTGAAATCGTCTAAGGAGAAGTATCAAACAATAAGCTGTCACAAATTAGCAGAAAGACGTTGTCATAAAATGGATAGCTTTTAGCTGCATACTTTCTGTGTGAACAAATTACTGTTAGGAGGTTCGGATGGTGTCTAAAAGACTTTCAGTGGACTTTTACTGTGTAATAATAATGCACATTGTACTACTGCAGCGAGTTACTGAGAAGCGATATCATTGATTAAAAATTTATCATGAATATAATAAAAATCCTGTGAATTTACACTCTGCTTTCTTCCCTTTCACAGAGTCATCCATATGGTATTCAAAGGCTTATACTTCTGAATTTAGAGAAGATTATTACCACTATTATTATACACCATTATAAACTACTGTGCATACAAGTGTATACTAAAAAAGTATGCTCAGCATTCCATGCAGTATAACTTGTAGCACAGTCGAGCTACTTTATGTTGAACAACTGAAGTTTAGCAAATCCATTATTATAGATATCTATCTACTGCCTCTTAGCATGAGTTTAAAGAGACACCTACGCATACACTTAGGAACAGCTACTGGTAATATTTTTGCTAGTGAGCTAATGAAAACAGCAATTGACGTATAATTTTCTTATCTCATTAAGGGATTTCGCCTAAAGCCATTAGTTCCTTTGGGAACTGTTTACTCGTTTTTTGCAGAGGTATTTAAGCACACATCAGTTGTTTAGTCTAAAGGCTAGATTTTCATATACTTAGTAGATTCATATAATTATGTCTCACATTGTCACATAGTAATGATGTACAAGCTAAATATTTCATTTCAGTTTTAGACTGATTGTGAATGCCTAAGCTTACTTTCTTAACGTTAGATTTTTCTAAATTAGAAAGGATTTTGCATAACTTTTAACATTTAAATTTAGACGTAATTCTGTTCGAATAATGTTAAGTTTGGTATTTGGGTGATATATCTGCAAGAGTCACAGTCAAGACATTTACAGACTAAACTCTAATAACGCCTTACAAACAATATGTGGATTGTTGGACCTGTGTCTTAACAAGAATCAGTGCATGATTCGACGAGATGAGTATGAAGTCTAAATCAAGACATGCTTCCCATTAAAACAGTTTACAGAACCTATATAAGAGTATTACTGTTTATTTCTTCAGAAAAACATCAGTATTGCAGTACAGTTTTCCAGAGGCAATTGTTGATCCGTTTGGCTACATTTGCTAAAAATAAAACTTACACAATTTGAATAGCTAACGTGAATAATTACTTTCTCAATCATAAGTCATAACTTGTCCTGATATGTGCGGAATTTAATTAATGTGAATGTATTCGCCACTTCAGAACACTTCTACGCTCATGCGATATTGTTTGAAAACCACCTTAACGGTGAACAGTAGGTCGAACTAGAAAACATATTCTAACCATTTAATGTAGTTCTTGAAATTACAGTATATTGTAGTGTAGTAACCTATTTATTTATTTACTCAAAGTATTATGAATTTAAGTGAGATTTTACTTGTGATTCTATGGTCAGTGAAAACCGTCAGAAGGTGGACTCACTTATATGAAACCTAACAAATTAGCACAGACTTATTACACATGTAACGCAAATGATCGACTTTTGAGATTTGGTTGGTTTTAAAGTCTCCTCTAAGTAGTTCTACAGCTAACTCAGTCTTATTATTATTATTTATTTGTCCCTTGGGTACCTAATGGAACATAGGGCTTCAGTAGCACACCTCCATTCCACACTCTTCTGTGAAATCTTTTCAACCTGACTCCACGACAGCCCACAAGCTCTCATTCCTTCCTCACACCATCTCCTCTATGTCACCCTCGCTTCAGACGCCCAACTAGTAGCTTCCCATCTGGGTTCCACTCGAGGACCTGGACTGACGCGTGATACCCCAGTAGGCCTTCTCAGTATATGCCACATCCAATCCATCTTCACTTCCTTCTGCATATTTGTTGAGCTATGTGTTCTTGGTTGGTTCGTCACCAGCCAGAGTTCCTTGTTGCTTATTCTTATTGTTCTGGCTATCTGAGCTTCAGTGTCGAGCCAGCGCAGGCAGTTGTTGATGAATGTCTGTAGTTTGTTGGAAATGCCTTTCGTAAACGCCAAGTCTCTGAACCATATATCACCAACTTCTTTGAAGACTTTCAAGCTCATTTTGAAGTCAGGTTCATTGCACTAGATAGTGCGTTGTCTGAACCCATATCTGCTCCCCTTCTCGACCTCGTGTCAAGTAGACTGCGTCTCCACTTTCTTCACATTCACATGAAGTCGATCTGATTTTAAGTGTGTCCTGATGTCTGGTGAAATCAAATCCATGTCGCTTTGTGGATATCCTTGTGCTTGAACACACTACCCCACCTCCAATCACCAAATCGTTGAATGCACGGAATTCTGCAAACAATTCTCCATTCTCGTTCATCATTTCAGGGAGCGCTTCTCCACCCATGGTTGTTTCTCTTCCTGTGTTGTCCGCTCCCAGTTTATCATTCATGTCACTCAACCCATCAGAATGAATTTTGATGTCGCCAACTGAGATGGGGTCTTGACCAGTGTTGATTGCAGTTGTCTGTAGAATTCCTCACTCTTCTCTTGCTCTGCATCATTTGTAGGTGCATAGCGTAGCGTAGAATTGTATGATTGTGACCTTCCTGCCTTTCTTTTTGAGTTGAAGCTTGCTGTCATGATCCTGATCCTGTAGGAGGAGATTGGTTCCCACTGCATGAGATCCTTCAATGCTGTTTGAGGGGGACATCATGATAGCCACTCGAAAACTCAGTGTTCTCATGGTTGTCATCTGGGTGACAATATCGGAGTAGATTATTGACTGCTTTCCAGTTGACAGTTTGTAGAGTCCTCTTCCATTCCACCCGCTTTCGCATATTCCAATCACTTCAATGTGATACCTTCCCATCTCTTCTTTGCAATCTGGACAGCTTTGCCAGCCAGCTTCAAAGATGGTGCAGACATTCCATGTCCCGATGTTTACTTTCAGTTTGGTGGAGAGATGGGATGACACATGGGCCAATTGGCTTCCCGAATGCAGGCTTTCACCAACCGGCATCATTTCGCCTCTTTGATAGCGGCGAGGAATGAGTTTGTTTTTATTTTTTATATTTCGTTTGTGCTTTGAAGTTTGTTTAGTGGTTGGATTTGTTTTAGGGTGTAGGGTTGCTGGGTTGCCGTATGCCCAACCTTTCTTGTTTACCAGGGCTTAGGACCGGCTAGTAACTATTGAACTAACTGACCGTGTGAGGTTGAAGACAAACATATATTTATATAAATTTTCATTTTGACTATCTGAGATTGTCGTGGTTTGATAGACTAGCATTTATACAGTGTTACAATTGAAGGTGAACTAAAAATTTGGAATGTGGCAGTATTCGAACCGGCTATTGCGGTATTTTCAGACCGGTTTTCTACCAGCTATGGGATCCGACTGCTGACGAGTTTTTAATTTTGTTTCAGTTAGCAATGGTTTCGTCCGATTGCCATGTGAATTCCTGACGTATTACCACCGCTTAATAGTACTCACACTAGCTGCCCATTCACAACTTCTCATCTCTATCCAAATCCAACTGAACTATAAACGGGGAGCATTATACTGATCATCATTTTGACTATCTGAGATAGCCGCGGTTTGGTAGACTAGCATCGGTTCACATTCCAACACGGTCCAAATTTTAATTTAACCTTCACTCACCATCTAGTAAATGTTTCATGGTGGCGTTCACTATCAACAAATATCAGTTGGAAAACCTTTGAAAATTCGATAGCACTGAGCAGCTCTTTAACTGAAGTAAGAGAGTTTTCCACCAGTGAAGTGTCTTTTCGGACAGACAAATCTTTGAAAACATTTGATGGTGTGACTTGAGTTCATGAGCAGACTTCAGCGACCTATTTATGGTGATCAAATGACACTACACGTTTTAAGCAGAATGCAAATGTTTCGTCATCCATCGACTAAAGCAAGCTAATTCTTAGACGTCATTAAAATATCTGAAACTTTCATACTTACAGGCAAATTCAGATGAAATACTCATGAAATTATTCAAATATTTACATGTTCTCTTAAATTAAAATGATATCAGGGGTTTATTCAGATACAAAACTGCAGACCTCTTTGAATGTGAATGATAGCAGACAACTTGACCAACATTTTTTCGTGTTTAAAACTAATCGGGTAGATGCTGTTGTTCTTTATAGTTATCTTGTTCAGCGCTGATGATTTCAAGTTCTAGACAGTCATACTGGTTCTACTATAAGTGCCAGAACAAATACACAGCATTGCAGCTACATTAGGCCGTATGGTGCAGTATGGAGTGAAAAGCATCCTGGATTTCACGACTAGCCAAACATTTGAAGTACTATCGTACTCGACGAACCAGAGCATATTTGCGAAGAGAATACATGCGAGCAGATTTAATAAGTAAACAGCAAGAAAATTAAACAGTCCGGGTTCACATGTGGCATTATTTTCTTAGTTTGTTTGCATTTTTAACAAAACTAATAAAGTTAAAGTGATTATGTGAAGGTCTCACGTAACATCAGATTTCTACATTAAATGCGTATGGAGATTCCAAACGGTAGGTCTTATCACGTTTAAATATGTTTTAGATGCATATGACAGTCATTTTCCAAATAATTAAACCAGTCAAAACCTTCTTGAATGCTGTTAAGAAAGCTGGTCCCTTCATCGAACGCAATTTAACAGATTCCTACACATACAAAGTTTTATTCAAATATGTTTCATACTGTCCAAGCAAGATATAGGTACTAGTTGATGCCATGTACTCCTAGCTAAGTCTTATGACTGGTATCAACTCATAACTTCAGCTAACTTTAGAAATTAACTTGGAACTCTATACTGCGAAGTTTTTAAAAACTCTGACAAAAATTTCTTTTAACAACCAGATAAAATAAGGGAAATTGATTTTTTTACTCCTGATACTTTCATTTCAGTTAAGCAGTTTTATTCATTTTCTTTTCATTTTATGCATAAGTGAAATTTCAAGTAATAAGTAATGCTTTCATCCTGTGTATTAAATTATAATGCCCAAGAGAATAAGTGACTAAGATGTCTTTGTGTAAGAAAACGAAACGTAATATAAGTGAAACCACTGTCAGAGATAATTAGCCTTGAGATTAATAGTTAGTCATTAGTGATTACTAGTAAGTAAAATGTGTTAGATGTAAATGATTGCAGAGGAATCGCAACGGAAAATAACATTTCGTTTAAATGTGAAATCATTTTATCTGATTTACACGATATGGATGAACATTTGAAGACTGATCTTTTATGTGATGGCTAGATTTCTTATAGTAGAGGAGTTAAAAGGCTTGTTATTGATTAGACTATGTAGGATGACCTTGGTCAGAATATTAACCCTTATGTTCTGAGGTGGCAAGTGAAGATCAGTAAAAATCCATGTGACAAAAGACAATAGCTTGGGACACCTAAATAATTGACAAAAGTCTGTGCTAACTGAGTAGTCGATATCAGTGCCAAAAGACCACTTGCTTATCTTCTATTACTATCTGCGTTTTAAAGCAACTTTTATAAGTGCTTTAGAGAATGTATTTAGAGTTAAGTGTACAATTTCAGCTTAGCTTACAAATCTGATATCATTCTCTGGAGGAAAAAAATTACCTTTCACTAAGTGACACTGTTCATTCATGAACATTTATATGTGCAGCTATAGCTCTTATGGCTTAGACAGTCGACTGTCAACCAGTAGGTCACAGGTTCAAGCACCGCTCCGCTCACCAAGGTATGGGTGATCAAGTAGCATTATTAGTTCTCATATAAAATATAGGGTTCATAGTCTACTGTAGGAAGGGACACAAGGTTGCCAGCTGAGTTTCGATTTTGTTTTGCGCAGCCTATTCCTAACCAGTCATCGGAAACTGAGTGTTTTTCGCACCTAATATCCTTGAAACTTATATGTTCACTTCAAAAAAACTGCATTTTGTTCCAGATTAGATTGGTATATTTGAAACAGCATACTATAATACCATGATATTTATTGAACAGTGTTTTAAGAATGAATTATCTCACACAATTGTAGATACTTTAAAGCTCTACTCTTGGTGGTAGGTTTTAATCCTGTATCGGTGTTGGGTATCTAGAACATCTTTTTGGAACTGAAATAGGAATATTAAAACGAAGAATTACTATATGGAATAATCTTGAAACATTTATGACCAGAGTCAGAAAAGGAATACAGTAAGTGATACTATTATCTATATCATACCACTTCAGTCAAATAAAAACTTTGTCACAGATAATTTTGAATCCATAGCTCAAATGATATGAAGTTGGAAAAATTATGCAGATCTTTTGACTAAGTTTTCAACTATCGTATAAATGCGAACATACAGATTAATAACAAATTAGTTGAGAAGAGTGGTTTTGCTTAAGTTTTTGTTCTTTATGTATTGTTTTCGTTTTCGATTTATCTAAATGTTATTTTTGTTACAAACTTGATGAGTTACTTTATGGATGTCCAACCATGAATTAGAAACATACTTTGCAAATACTTCTAAACGATAACTTACTGATTAAATCCAAAAACGCTCTGTCCACTATATGTTCTTGTCCATAATTTGCAGCTTCATAAACTCTGCATTCATAAAGACCACCATCTTTTTCACTAGATGACTGTACAGTAAGAAGTACTTCACTACGATAGTAGTGGTTTGATTCACCGGTAACTTGTTTATATATCGTAACTCCCATTGATGTTCTACTAGTTACTTGTTGAAATGAATGTGCAAGTTGACTGACTACAGCAGTTACATTTGGATTCGTTGTAGTATATGACTGTAACTCTGATTTCTTGGACAGAACATTCCCTAATTTATATGCATTTATCAATGTTATATGTCGACTTGAAGGTGACTGAAATGAATACGTCGGTCGGAACCAGTCTATTGCTATACTAACCGATTGGTCCTTCGTTACACGTACTGAACAAGTTAGATTAAATGAAGATCCAATTACGATCGATTGAGGGATGAGATAGAAACTACAAAAAGAATAAAAGAAAAAGATGGCGATTAGATTGTAATCTTTGTATTTGTATTTCTCGAAAAAAGAGCAAACAAGGTTGGTTTTATCTACCTAGTGACTGTTTATCAGCTTAGCAGCAGACTGCTTAACTTTTGTCATAGAAATATGATTGAAAGCTGGGAATACATTATAAGGTGTGACTGCATGCCATTGAAGTAACAATACTTGCAAAAGTCAAAGTTAAGCTCACAGGTCACCCCGGTAAACTAATGACAGATTGGGGAACTAGTGAGTAATATAATGATCAGGACCATATTTCCTGATAAATTTGTCAATGACTAACAGATTTTATTGTATCTTTTATGCATAACACAACTGTTTTAAGCTAAAAAACTTATTGCATTTATCTCTTGTTTTACTTTTCTTTGTCTGGTTTTCATTCTTGTCAGCTAAACCTGCAGAAACTATATGGTATTTTTAAAGTACTTCTTGTACTGCATGACTGTATACTATGTGAACAGAGGCTACTTCACCGAGATCATGCTTCCCACTCAGTAGGTAACAAGAATCATCTAGTCAAAATGTTCGATTTAAGGGGTTTTACATAGCTTTGGTTAGGTTTAAGCTCTTTACAAAGTCTTTATCTAGACGTTTTATCACTAAATCATCTAAATCTTCCACTAAGGATAGACGAGTTCGAAACAGGCAATAACTTTGGGAGTTCTGACTACGTTGTTCCGATTGTCTTAGAATTACTAGAAAAAGGGTCTACTTGAGACTTTATCTATGTGCTTGACACCAATTTACTACAAAACCGACAAGTTATTACCTCAGGGAACTTAATTTCTTCGTTTTTTGAATGTCTTAACTATTCACAATAGTTATTTAATAGGAGATTTCGACTGCGGAATTAAGGTTTTAAGTGGTTGGGTGGGTTTGACTGCGAAAGATCCTTCATTTTCAATATAGTCTGATCAGTACTGTCTTTTCCAAAGAAAATACTTCACTTTGTCAGGGCTTAACGATTTCTTCAAAGTTCTTTTTAGTTTGTTCACCTAAAATACAATTCATTTTAATTTCAAAGTGGACAGGTGTCAGAAACGATTGTTTTAATTTTTTCCCACTACAAACTAGCCAAGAAAAAACACCAGTCTCTGAACAGATTATTCTCGAAAAAGTTAAATATTTACTTATATTAATGTAAACATCACACAACAAATAAAATTAAGTATAAGTTAATAAATTGGTAAAGTTCAAGGCCAATAACTCAGTGTTCGGTTTAATCCCGGATTATCAAGTATAGTTTGACCTACAGATTTGTTTAAGTAGAATGAAAGATATTCAACTAAAATATATCAATGAAAAAGTCAAGGTTTTTGTGAACTGGTATTCTGTAGGCATTAGTTGTACGATAAACATATCAAAACTGAAAACAAGATATTCAATAAAGAAACCCAAAAGTTAAGCAAAATCATAATTTTGTGCTACAAACTTTTACATTTGAAAACAATAATAGTGAATAAAAAATTATCCATATAATTATTTCACTAGTGCAACTATAATCAAAAGCAGTGAATATCTACTCATGTATAGTTTCAAATTTATTGACAATGTAAACCTTCAGAATTAAATAAAATTATGAAGGGGAATTGTCTATCCTGCATATCGCTTTGACAGTATTTGAGCAAAGAAACATATTTGCAAACAAAATCAATAACCACTGATGCATGTTAACTGATTGTGAATATAACATGTGAGCAAACGTTCCCTTTGGTATAGGCTGTATTGATATGATCGTTTGTGTGCCTATTTTGTAAAATTTAATATTATTAAGGTTAAGGTGAACAGTTTAGCATATGAGTTACACTGGGTTTTTTTAGCTGTAAAAGTAATAAGTTTTGGTTTATTAGAGTTAAAAATACGTCGTTAGTTTTTATTTTACTTGTGTAGTAGTTACTGGATGAAAGTGATAACATTTTCCTTGCTGAGGCCCATTTTTTTCAATATTTACAAAACTAACACTCTAGCATAAACAACTACTTCACATTTTACAGGAAAATATTTCTTTCGAGAGTGTTTACAAAAAAAGCATATCGTTAGGCTTAAATTTTGATCCTAGCTTCTAAGTTTAAGGACGTTACCATTTCTAAAGGTATTAAAAATACCAAGACGACTAGGTATGATATCTTCAAGTATAAATAACACAAGTTAATACAAGGGATACTGATGTAAGTGATATGTACTGATTTCCATTTAAAATTCAGAGGAACCGAATACATCAAATATGTTTGGTCTAATAATTTCACAACGGAATTTATCAATTGAAAAAATGATTTCGTTAAATAAAAAAAAATATTATTTCAGAGAACATTAACATGATATTTCACCACTACAAAGAGGACGTTTGATATGCTTCTAGAAACCTTCAGTGATAAAGTGTTTTACATAAAGCTCACTCTAAAGTATTTAGTTAGGAGAAATTTGCGTTAGAGAATGAATTTACTATGATCATTTTGTAGTATTGCAGCCTTTTAAAGAGATTTCCGTGGTTACAAACGGCGTGGTACTCGAAAACTGTTCTATGCAATTCAAGTACACCTTTCTTCACTAGCTGACGGTTGTCACTAGTGGATTAAAGGATACATATAGAGTCCTGCTGAAGATTCATCAACTTGATTTGTCTACTTACCAGTAATCGAGTGACGCATGGATTAAATGAAATAAAAGATGATACGCTTGATTAATTACCCCTTATATCCTTTACATTTCAAACAAATAACAGGGACTCAGTATAAATTTTGTCATATCTCTAAATTTTTCTCATAAAGTGCCATTAGCTCTTGAATGAGTCAAAATGTGAATACTTTTTTTGTCATAGTGTTTGTATATAGACTAGCGTTTGCGTTGTGCTTACTGCTTTAACACAGACTTTTAAATTTCTGCTTTACTTTTACATAAATTTCAGGATTTTAATAATTGAGTCGAATGAGCTAGTACATGAATGCCACAAAGTCTTAAACTAGTTTCTGAAAAGAAAGTGAACCTAACAGTATCGCATATTTAATCTTCATCGACGAAATAGCCGGAAAGTTTAAACAGTTATACAAAGCAATACTAAAGACTCGGGACTTTAAAATTCGCTTCGAGTTCAACTTAATGGATTTACCACACAAAGGCTCTGGATTCTGACTCTTTTATACCTATTACTTCACAAATTTGACTAATCGAACAACTTTCATATCGAAAGACAAATGTATTCTTAGATAATGACCACAGTACGTGATATTTCTAGAACCATGAATAAAATAGAGGTTGACTGTAGATTAATGGAACGAATGCAGCCTTTCACTTTAAATATTTTAATGAAAATATCTGTATTTTAATCTTCTTTTACAACATTAGATATATTCAGTGAATCAATTTTTCAAATGAAGGCCTGAATAAATGTTGACTCTTCTTTCCCATATATCTTTACTTGTTGTTACTTTCTAATATGTCTAAATTGCATTACTCTAAGTTTTTTATTATTTTCTGTTTTCATTAGCTCACAATATAATAAGTGCATTCGCAAGGTTATTCAATATATATATCCTAATATATTTTTGTCAAAATATGAAGCGGAATGGTATAAAGATGCATTCATTTATTCTTTGAAATGTTATATTTATTGGTAAATTAGTCTTTTGTTAGTATTTGTAACAAATAGAGTAGCTCTTTGCATACACACTAGTTAGTTAGTAAACTCAGGAATCATTGAGCAACCACAAAAATTACAGGTATCCAATTGGACAGAACAAATTCACTTGGCAACGCCTAAATTCTACAATTTTTTCAATGAACATATCCTATTCTATTACAGTCAGTTTAACCTGCTTTTTTAAACTTATAATCCTATCCCAGCAGTATTTATTTAATATCTGAGTACTATGCGAAACGATTGACTTAAAGCTGGAGAACAGGTAAATGTCTAAATAAAATCATTTAAGCAAGAATATATGTATAAAAAGACGAATTAAAATTCACTTGATAATCTTTTCCTCTAGTTTTATTGTGGTCCTAGAATTAAACTTGTTTATCAACTGATTTCGTTCATTTTTCGTAATTGCTCTTTTCCTAAAATTAAGGCTTTCTTATCAGGCATGAAAAAGGGGAGTGAAATCGTCAAACTGAGAGTTATGCTGTACAAATAAAAAGAATTGAAAAGTATAATTATTGCTGTTACCACTATGATTATCATTTGATTTGGTTAAAATAATGACTAAAAGATGAGAAGAGAAAGTGGAATAAACAGCAAATTGCAAAGATTAGTCGACAGTTGATTGATTCCACTTTCAAAACAACTAAATAAATAAATAAATAGATAAGTTATTTTTTATTGCTTCTGTATTTACACCTTCCTATTTCACCGCCTGCTGATCATCTTATAAGTTGGAACGAGTTATAAATGTATGAGTGGACATTTTGTTTACGTACATTTATTTGAAAAAAGTTTAAACAGAGATTAGTGATTACTACTTTTCTTCATTTCTAATAGAATGAAGAAGAGGCCATCATAAAAGTATTGATGATGACAAGAGCCTTGGATGAAAAAAAGGTTAACTAATATAAGATTAACCTCTCCTAGTTAACTAGTTTACTAGTTACTAGCTGGTCCTAAGGCCGGGAAACAGGGAAGGTTGGGCATACGGCAAACCAGCAACCCCACCCCCTAAAACAAATCCAACCACTAAACAAACTTCAAAGCACAGACTAAATATAAAAAATCAAATCAAACTTATTTCCCGTTGGAATCGGGGAGACGACATGATGCCGGTTGGTGAAAGCCTGCATTCGGGAAGCCAATTGGCCCATGTATCCCCCCTTCTCTCAATCAAACTGAAAGTAAACATCGGGATATGGAATGTCTGCACCATCTTTGAAGCTGGCTGGCAAAGCTGTCCAGATCACAAAGAAGAGATGGGAAGGTATCACATTGAAGTGATTGGAATATGCGAAGGCGGGTGGAATGGAAGAGGA